GTAAAATATGCAAAACTCAATTCCGTCTTTAACATCCCTAAACTTTGCAAAAAATCTTGGTCTTAGTCCCTTCCATGAGGAAGGCAGGCTATATTGATTTTCTTCAGCAATCGATCTATTGCATACTCTTCACACTGAGGAACCCTCTGCTGATGATTAAGAGCTAGATATGTCCGGAGAACAAGGTGCTTCAAGGGATCCTGAGGCTGGCCAGGAAAGTCTGGGCCCTCAAAGAAAGGACTTCAGATCTCCTGCTGGAGAGGTGGAAAGCTCTGCTTCCAAGTCAAGAGGGAGCTGTGGAGTCACCACCCAGTCCCCAAGAATGTTCGTGCCTGAAGGTACCGGCTTAGGTCATGGCTAGTGGAAGGAAAAGACCTCCTTGGAAGCAAGACCCACCTTACAAGAAAAAGGTTTGCTGAGGATCTGTAATGAACTGCAGCTGAGCTCTGGGTAAGACTCAAGAAGGTTTATCAATAGAAGCCATCAGTATCAGCCTAGCCTTTGCTGGAAACAGCATCATGTGCCAGCTCCAGTGTTCTGTAACTCTGACATTGCTCTGGTAATCCTGTTGCTGACCTGGTTCCTGCTCCTACTTCACTGGACAACATGTTTTTCTGACTCCTTGCATCTGTTGGATTTTGGCTCACCCCAAGACCTCACTCTTCAACCTTCTGCCCAAAAATAGCCTCTATGTCAAGGATCCTATAATCCTTCCATGAAGAAATTGGAAGCAGGAGCCTCGGTAAAGTGCTGGGTTGGATGCCTCATGTAAAGCCCTCAGCCAGGGCTTGGGTGTGTTTCTGCAAAGCTTTTGCTTTTTGCCAGAATCAGAGAATCTGCAAAGGCAGAGAGCATCCAACTGATGGTCACTACAAAACGGTTGAAATAAAAATTTCACCTGGACCTCGTTCAAGACATCAGGCCTATTACTCCTATTCAAGAAGTTAGTCTTTGTGACTTCCCTGACACTGGGTTCTTCTAAAAGCCTTTATTGCATTTCCCTGCATCATTCCCAGAATTGAATGGGCAGGGTGGACACCAACAGCTCCTGCTTGTAGATTTCCTGCTTTCTCCAATATTTATACCATCTTTTTTCTTACAACCAACCATTCTGTTAAGGAAACCAATTGCTTCACAATATTTGTGATCTGTCACTTAGCAGTCACCCTGGTCGATGCATATGGAAAAGCTTGACTTGTTCATGATCTCTAGGGTAACCTCTGGGGTGAAAAAATATCCAGGGAGTTTTAAGCTGCCAGAACTAGCAAACAAAATGCAAGCAATATGAAAATGGAGCACTGGGTAGAATCGCAATGGTAGGCTGGATGCAGACTGCATTGTCAGAGCTTGGTTATGGCACGGATCAGGGGTGAGCCAGAAGTCGTGTTGCAAGCCAATTCAAAGCCAAAGGGCTAACCAGGAAGCAGCCTCAAAGAGTAAGCCGGCAGTCAAGAGCAAAGGGCAACCAAGAACGCAAGAACAAATCAGAACTCGGGAAGACCTTGTGGCACAAGTAAGGCCCAGCCTGCTCAGGAATGCTTCCTATGCCTTCCCATCCTGTAGGATCCAATGGCTAACCAGGGACAACGTTGGTCCAGAGATGGAGAACCCTGATGTCTGCATGCCAAGGGTCCATCGCTCGGGAGACCTGCACACAGGTCCAGCATCTCCTGGCCTGGAGAGATGAATCTGACACAGAAGGTGCCGAGGGTCCATCGCTCGGGAGACCTGCACACAGGTCCAGCACCTCCTTGCCTGGGGAGAGGACAAATCTGACACAGACGGTGCTGAGGGTCCTTCGCTTGGGAGACCTGCACACAGGTCCAGCACCTCCTTGCCTGGGGAGAGGACAAATCTGACACAGACAGTGCTGAGGGTCCTTCGCTCGGGAGACCTGCACACAGGTCCAGCATCTCCTGGCCTGGGGAGAGGACAAATCTGACACAGACGGTGCCGAGGGTCCATTGCTCAGGAGACCTGCACACAGGTCCAGCATCTCCTGGCCTGGGGAGAGGACAGATCTGACACAGAAGGTGCCAGAAGAAGCCAAACTGAGGATAGGAAAAATGGCGCAGGAGTTCACATATGAAGAGGACAATTGGAGTGACCTCCTTCCCCACCCCAACCCTTAAAAAAAATTAGGGATGAGGTGCCTCCAGGGCAATCGCTGAAAGCCCATTTGGAAGCATCCTGTTAATGTGTATAATCTCTCGAGTTGGAAGCAGTTACTGATATGGATGAATAAGCCAGACTTCTTAATCGGTTTGAATACAAGCCTTGCCTCTAACCCCTAATGAATGAAAACCCCAGGATTTCTTCCATGAAAAATGCATGGGAGTGTGCCATTCATAAAAACATTCAATTACACATATGAAGCCTGTCCTGCCATGACCCACGCATCCTTCGCTTTTGGAGATGGAAGGATCCTGTTCGTAGAAGGCCATTTAACAGGCCAACCCGGCTGGCCAGTGGAGGGAAGCTGTTCCATACTCTTTCAGAAGGACCTCGATCAGCAGAAAGTTCTTCCTGACTAAAAGTATGGTCAAAGAAACATTTCTTGCCCTTGGTGCAAGATACTTTCTTCTTTTCCTAAAACAGGAAATGAAGAGTTTTGTTGGCTTTCGATGTGGTTTATAGTAGATTCAAAAGTGTGGAGAGCACAGTGTGGTGTGGTGGTTAAGAGCATGGGATTGGGACTCAGGGATCTGGGTTCGAGTCCCCGCTCAGCCATGGAGCCAACTGGGTGGCTTTGGGCCAGTCACAGACTCTCAGCCCAACCTACCTCACAGGGTTGTTGTTGTGGGGATAAGATGGAGGAGATGTAGGCTGCCTTGAGCCCTTTGTAGGAAAAAGGCAGGCTATAAATCGGGTGGGGGAGAGTCTGCAAGAGCCAGATCATTAATGGAAGTTGCCATCCAAGATTGAGACCGGCAGCACTAATTGGGACCGGCAGCACTAATGGGCAGTGGATCGTCAGACCATGCAGGTCCTTTGGAGCTCCATGGCCCTCTGCCTGCGCAAAGCTGCACTCCTTCCGTCATTTGCTGGCTGTTCTTCCACGAGCTCGCTCAGAGTGTTCCTTGGAATTAGACTATGAAATTCTCAAAGCCTAGTTAGAAATGAGAAATCTGCAATGAAATCACAATCAGCCTGAATGGAGTAGTCCAATAAAATAGAATGCCTTCATAAAATTATGCTACTGCACCAAGCAAATGTGGACTTTTCCACCTAGTCACCAAAAGAAAACAAAGATGAAAGCAAATGTACTTGTGGGGAGAATTCCAGGGCCGGGGCCAGAGCAGAAAAGACCCTGCCTCTTGTCACAGTCTGCTTTATTTCAGCTGGTGGGATGAAGTTGCCATGCGTCCTGCTCGACAGAGCTCAGACCTAATGGAAGTGCCGAACAGTCCAAGTCTAATTTAAGCACAAAGAACCAGAAGGAGTATGAAGGAAGTGACTCTGAAGTCATGGACCAACAGTTGGCAACGCAGCCGAAGGCTGAGGAGGCAACTTCCTACTAAGGTGGGATGCAACTAGATCTAAAATTATGGCAATTCTTTCTAGGTTCACTTCAAGAGATGCAAATGCTCTTCCTCTCCTCCTTTACTGATGCATTTCCTGCCTTCCGGCAATGCAAAGAGGGACCCACAAGTGGCCAATTTTGGGTTTAGCTTCAGAAGATATTGTGCAGATTCATGCACTCCTGCAAGGAGGACTTTAGAGGCCTGGAGTTGTGACCCGGCAACACCATCTCCTCGTATGCACAGAGGTGCAGTACTGCAGATTTAGCATCCAGGCATCTATACAGACTTCAGGGCACATCGCTAGAGTTGTACCCTGAGGTCACCAGTTCATGAATGATAGATACTCATTTATGAACCAGGACGCCGGGGCTGTTTTGTGCACGGGACAGCAACAAACTCAGGTTTTCCCCTAGAAGTGCACTCAGAGAGCCCCAGCAAAATCCCAACTGCCTCTGCAGAAGCTGCTGGTGGAACCAGCTGCCTGGAGGGGTGGTGAGCTCTCCCACACTGGAGACATTCAAAAAGAACCTGGGCAGCCCTCTGAGTGGGATGGTGTAACGTGGTGTCCTGCAACAGCAGGGGGCTGGACTTGATGGCCTTCATGGCCCCTTCCATGGCCCCTACTATTCTCTGATTCTTTTTTGTAGAATATCTGTGTTAGGTGTGTACATGAAAACATGCAAAGCAGGGCAGTTTCCTCAGCCTTCTCACCAAGCTAAGCTTGCAGAAGCACAGCTGCCACAGCTGCAATGCAGAGCAACAGCCTCAAGAGCCTTTCGGTGCTATAAACCTCTGTACCCTCTCCATGCCAAACAACCCAATTCTGCCAGAAGGGAGAAGCTACCAATTACATTAGTCATTCAGTCCTGCTACCAGCAAACTTTAAGAAGTTTGCCTGCATCCAGCTGATTCCTGGTTTGGATGCTTAGAGCCAGAGTACTGGGAAGCTTTTCCCTCTTCAGGGGCTTTGCATTATTGCTGTGGGTTAAATGTCATAATAACCCTCTGCTCTCCACCAGTTTATCCAGGGCTGGACTGAAGTCCAAAACACATGGCTGCTGAATCTATGACTTTTTTGGTTGGGGGTGCACTAAAATGTAATTGTACCATCATATTGTCCAGTGTGAACAGGCTAAGCACTGCTGAGGTGAAGAGTATTGTGCCTTTAATTAATAGTTTTCTGTATACAACTTCTGTTTCTGTTTTTACTTTCTGTTCAGCAAGTGAGCTTCTAGTACTTATGCAGCAGAGGAATGCTATTATTATTATTATTATTATTATTATTATTATTTTGATGATGATGATGATGAGGAAAAATAAAAAGAACAATTAACACAGAGAAAAAGTGGGGGAGACAGAAGCTCACTAATTGTTCAGTTGCAAAGTCACACCTGACCCATCATGAAACCATGGCTCTCCTGTCCTCCACCATCCCTTGGAGTCCACCCAAGCCACACCCACTGCCACAGCGACTCCATCCAGCCACCTCATCCTCTGCCATCGCCTTCTCCTTTTGCTGTCAATTGTTCCCAGCATCAGGGTCTTCTCCAGGGAATTGTTCCCTCTCACTAGATGGCCAAAGTACTTGGGTTTCATCTTCAGTATCTGGCCTTCTAAAGAGCAGTCAGGGTTGATTTCCTTTAAGATTGACTGGTTTCATCTCCTTGCAGTCCAAGGGACTCGCAGGAGTCTCCTCCAGCAGCACAAGTAAAAGGCCTCAATTCTTCAGTGCTCAGCATTCCTTATGGACCAACTTTTACAGCCATCCATTGAAACTGGGTAAGGAGCCATGCATCACTGATCCACTAGCCACATTGAACAGGAAGCTATAAAAGGTGCAGTAGGTACAAGGAGGAAGCTACTAACTAATGTTGCAGGAGTCCTGTGCCAAATAGAACACATTTGTTAGCAAACTTTATAGACCGATTTGGGATTTAAGGAAGGACAGAACTAATATCTTACGAGCTGTGTTGGCCATTCTTTTAATTCTGCTTCCCCCAGACAGCTGTGGGTGAGCAATGCTCCGAGCATTGGCCTTTGTGAAGAAGCCACCTTCGTCTGCAACACAAATTGCCACCTTGTTATTCAGCATTCTAAGGTCATCTAGGCGATTATAAATCTTCCTTTATGTTTTATTAAACTATCTCTCTTCATCTCCAAAACAGTGGTTATCTCCATCTTTTAAAACCGCTTTGTCTGTAGCTCTAAATCCCTTTACTGTAGATTAGTTCTGTTATTCATCATTAAAGTGCCTAAGTACAGTTGCTGTAACAGAAATCAGGGCAATAGAAAAGGGCAAGGGATGGAATAGCAAAACTTATGCATAGTAACCTCAGTCATTCATGCAAAAACGAACAAGGAAGATCACTCGCTTTCAGTCATCATTAAACATTTATCCTCAGCCTTTACCTAGATGAGGACACCGATGATTTATCAACAGAGCGGTGCAAAGCGACCAGGTATACCTGGTATTATCTTCCAAATTATTATCTTACACCAAAAATAGCTTGTGCCATCCATATTTTATGCTAGTCACCCTCAACCTGGTGCCCTGCACATGTGTTGATTATGTTTCCCATCATCCCCATAACTCTGCTCATATTGGCCAGTGATGATGTTGTAGTTAACACCTGTCCCTCTTTCTGGTTATTCCCCCAGCTGGCGGGTTCCAGGTAGACTTGTCAACTGCCCTCCGGGCCTGTCGGTGCTGCTGCTTAATGCCAGGTCAGTCCAAAATAAGGCAACACTCATCCATGATTTGATCATGAATGAGAGGGCCAACCTGGCTTGCATCACAGATACCTGGGAGGGTTGGGGGGGGGCTGTTTCCTTCTCACAATTGTGCCCGCCCAGGTACCTGGTCCGGCACCGACCACACCTGGAGGGGAGGGGGGGGGTCGCACTGGTTTATCGAGCTTCTATTTCCTTATGGGGCTTCCTGTCCTCTCGAGGCCGGGGCTGGAGTGCCTCCACTTGGTGTTGGGCGACTGAGACAGTTTGGGGATTCTGTTGGTGTACTGTGCACCCTTCCACCCAACAGACTCCCTGCCTGAGCTGACAGAGATCGTCTCGGACCTGGTGTTGAAGACTCCCAGGATGTTGGTCCTGGGGGACTTCAATCTCCATGCCGAGACGGTTCTAACCGGGGCGGCTCAGAACTTCATGGCCTCCATGGCGGCCATGGGGCTGTCTCAACACATCACTGACCTGACCCATGAACGTGGACACACTCTGGACCTGGTTTTCTCAACGGGGCAGGAAGAGGGCGATCTGAAGGTGAGGAATTTAAGTTTGACGCCCTTGTCATGGTCAGATCACTTCCTCATAAGGTTTGTATTGGTCCACCCCCAGAGCTGGATAGATCCTGATGGATTCCTGGAAGCTCTGGGGGATTTTCCGGTTGACAAGGCTGGTGATCCTGTCGATGCCCTGGTTGAACTGTGGAATGAGAATATGACCAGGGCTATTGACACGATTGCCCCCAAGTGCCCTCTCCCACCTGGCAGAGCCCGTTCATCTCCTTGGTATACACCGGAATTACGGGCGATGAAGCAGGTTGGGAGACGTGAGCATAGAAGGAGGAGATCACGGGGTGATTCTGACCGAACACACTTAAGGAACGCTGCACACACTGCTGAGAGAGACCAGAGAAGAGACAGCAGCCAAGCAGAGGCTACGTGAGCTTTACCATTGTATGTCCTAACTTCTACCAAGACATCCTAGGGTCAAAAAGTGCTACCTTTTTACAGGGCCAGATTTTAGGGAGTGTATCAACTCCTGTGGTTGGTGCAGAGACACCAGCAAGGCTGCCATGGAAGAGATGGCGCTAAAGTAGGTAAACGCTTTAGGAGAACCGCCCCAAGATCAAGGCCTCCGCCTCCTGGACATTGCTTCTGCACATACCTACTTGCTGCAGATCTTGGAGACAGAATGACCACCAGGCAGCCAAGTGGTCCCGGGGGGAGCTGCTCCCATATCAGCAAGCCTGATTAGTTCAGGGAACAGTCCTCCTGGTCTGGAAGAATTGCTGCTGAATGCAGCTCACTGAATGGGAAAGCTACATGTTATACTTCCTCTGTGGCCTGCGGCTACATCAGTTCCTTTACTGTTAATGGACTGTAGTTGGGGAAGGTGATTATGAAGGAGTTCCAAGTGCAGGGGGTGAGTTACCCCTTTCCTCCTTTGCCATGAAGACACCCCCTGAATTTGGGGGTGGTGTGCCGCTATGGGGCTTAATTAAGACATTTCCACTGTGCCAATGGGCTCTTTCAACTAAGCCCCCAAGCTGCATGGAAGAGAGATGGCTTGGGGGAGAGTCACAAGAGAGAGGGGAAGGACTGGGGATTTCTCCTGGGATTCTGTGAACCAGTCGCAATCAACCCTTATCCTCGTGGCTGTAAATAAAGTAAAACTAGTGAAAAAGCTGCACACTGTGCATTATGTGCGACATATTGATTGACCTGAGCCCAAAGTCTTTGCGACATGCAAACGTCCCTGAACGCTCGGATGGTCCACAGACGCCTTGTTCCAGCTCCCCGCAGAATCTGAGGACGCAGCCTTCTCTGCCGTGGCACCAACACTACGGCACCTTTCTCTTTCTGTACGAGGCATCGGGAAAGAACAGCTTTATCCCATCTGAATCATTTATTTTGCTTTGTACTACTGGACCTCAGCTGTGTCTTGCCCTTCCTGTTTTGGTTTCAGTTTCTACTTTCTTTGTGTTTATGGCTTTGCTTTCAAGTGGAAAACTACTTCTTAGGCTCTTTGGGGGGTGGGTTGAGTGCAGGACACAAAATGCTTTGTTGTTGTTGCTAGTCGTGAAGTCGTGTCCGACCCATCGCGACCCCATGGACAACATTCCTCCAGGCCTCCCTGTCCTCCACAATCCCCCGGAGTCCACCTAAGCTCACACCAACCGCTTCAGTGACTCCGTCCAGCCACCTCATCCTCTGCCATCCCCTTCTTCTTTTGCCATCTATTGTGCCCAGCAACAAATTTGTTCAACAAATAGTTGAATTAAATAAATAAGGAAATGGAGTGCAAACCATGTGAGCGTAGGCCTTTCAGATCAAAATGAAGACATTGGATTTTTCTGAAACTGGAAGATGCCTTTCAGGATAATTGTGAGGCTGGGCAGATGCAGTTCTCTTCCCTTCTCGCCCAACACACACCAGAGTCACCCTTGGATGTTAGTGGTTTCCATGGCAATTTTCCATCTGTTTTTGACTGTTTTTACAGGCTTTTTAAATTAAAGCTTAAGTATGTCAGTGTTCCAAGATTAGCTTTGTCTTTGAATAAACCATATGCCCCCTCAACAAATCCTGCTACGCCAATAACACGGAGGGAAAATGTTTAGAGTTGGTTTTCACACATCTTCTCTGATTAAAAACAAAGCAGCCGGGCGACGGAGAAGAAGGGAATGTTTGTGCAAGGATTCATTTGTCATCATCCTATAAAACTCTCATGCCTGGCACATAATTGATCATTGTATCAGCTAAACAGAGCAGAGGAGAGCACCAAGGAAGAAACTGTTCTCCTGCTGTCAGAAACTTTGCATTCCCTGAAAATCAAAACAGACCATGGCAGGAAATATTTACCTATGAGATGCAACATAGATAGAAACGACTCCTATTTAAGCAAGGGAGAAGCACAGAAGTGTTTATGTTCCCCAGAGTTCTTTGCTGGATAGAAAATGGCAAAACCTTTCCTGGCGTTCAGTCTGCAGGAGGACTCCAAGTCTTGCTGAGTTCTGTGACTCTCAAAGATTCTTAAAACCTGTGCCACCACCTCAAAGCATGTGTTACCCACTGCACTTCATGCGTTCGCATCACCTAGGGGAGGACTTCTAGGCCACCTCATCCAACCCCCACCCCCATGCAGGAAATCTTAGCCATACAACATCTTCAACAGATGCCTCTCCATTCTATACTTGTTGGACTATAGCTCCCATCATCTCCGGATGCCAATTTCTGGTTAGCAGTTATATGCATTATCATGTAACAGCACTGGCTCCTTACTCTTAACCACGGCACTGCACTGGCTTTCACTGGTCCCACTGTCAAATCATTCTCCATGAATCCTGCTTGCCCAAAATCTTCCCTCCTGTAACCTAGGGCCATTTGATCTAATTCTTCCCCTGGTACACCAGAGAACAAGTCTTCGTCCTCGTCTCTGCAACAGCTCCTTCGATATTTGAGGAATGTCTCATGTTCCCAGTTATTCTTTTCCTCTCCAGGCCAAACTCAGCCAGCGCCTTCCTCCTTTCCTCAGAGGAGAGCTTTCCTGCACATTTGACCATCTCTGCTCCCTGTCTCTGACCCTGTTCCAGCTCCTCTGTCTGCGACTTAGGGTGGTACCCAGGAGTGCACAGCAACAGCCTTTACCTAAAATTAGCCCCTCTGTATCATATCGGACGGTCTCAATTCACTGCCGCTAGAAGTCGTGATGGCCACCCATTGAAGCGGATTGGACAAATTCATGGAGGAGGAAACTACCCATGGCTACTAGCCCTGTTGGCTATTATCAGAGGTGGGGTGCCTGCATGGACCAGTTGCCTGGGCAGGAGGAGGTCTCGCACCCATCCTGCTGGAGGGATCCTGCACGCAGCTGTTTTGCCCCCACATGAACCAAGCGCTGGACTGCTTGGACCAGTGGTCTCTGTGTGTGTATGTGCGCACGCATGCGTATGTGTGTGTTAAGGAGGGGTGGAGGTTTACACAATCACAGAGGTGAAAATAAGCCAATAAGATACCCCAGTATCTTCCACTTTCACCAAACTA